CCCCAAAACCCCAAAACCCCAAAACCCCGCTGAGAAAGAAAGAAAGGATGCTTAAGGACTTTATTAAAATCTAATGTAATATCTTTTAATTCAAAAAATGAACTCTGCTCTTAAATTCATTTAAGGTTCGACAATAATTGGAAGCTCTTTCTTAATTATGAATCAGTTAAGGTAGAAGGGCAATAGCCAAGCCTAGGCTGAAGGAAATTAAACTGGTAGTAATTCAAAAAATCATTTCTTTGGTGCTTATTCCAACATTCCACATATTGAAAAAAGACACAGAGGTGGAGAAGATGCTTGGATCATTAGTTCAAATTTGTTAGCCGTTGCTGATGGAGTTGGTGGATGGAACAGAAAAGGAGTTGATCCTGGTATTTTTGCAAGAGAATTATGTTCCCATGTTACACAGGTTTTTTAAGAGCATAGAAATGGAACTGATGGCTAGAATGCTAAAAGAATAGTAGACATCAATTTGACCGAAGTACTAGTTGAAGGAGTAAAAAGAACTAAGGCAATGGGGACTAGTACATTTGTCTTAGCTTCAATTGACGATGACGGGGAAAGTAAAATTTAAGGATTAAATCTAGGGGATTCAGCTTATATGATAGTGAGACCAGATCCTCATTAGGAGTAAGGATTTGAACTTATATTCAGATCAAAGGAGCAGCAATATAGATTTAATTACCCCTATTAGTGCGGTACTAACTATGATCCTCCTCACCATGCAGATAGACAAGAGCATGATATCAAGCATAATGATGTCGTCATCTTAGGAACTGATGGAGTTTTCGATAACTTGTTTCATGATTAGATATTCTAATGTCTTAAACCAGAAATCAACTACAGCAATCCAGATCACCCAATAAATCATTTCAACATGACTGACCCCTAATCTGCAAGCAATTGCATTGCTAATACTGCTGAGAAGTTTAGTTATGATAAAACTTGGGATAGTCCATTTTCAAAAGGAGCAAGAGCTGCAGGTAGAAATAGAGAAACTGGAGGAAAAGATGATGATATTACTGTGATAGTTGCTTAAATTAAGCTTCCTAAGATCTTTTGAAGATTTTAGGTGATTAATTCTTGGATTTGATAGAAGTTATGAACTTAACTTTAATAATAATTTAATAACAAATCAAAAATTCTTGAATGCACTTTGTCTTTGCATTAATTTAGAAGCTTTAGCTATTGATAGATGTCCATCCTAGAATGTAGTTCTCTAAGTAAGTTCTTATTCAAAGTTTGATACATCAAAAGGATCTTCAGTAAGTTCAGGTATATATGGAGCTTTCAATGTTTTTAACTCTAGTTATTCAAAGTCAATATCTTAAAAGAATGGATGCTAGATAACTTCTTCGAACCCATTATTCCCTAATCTTTGTGCTGGGTCTTTGTGTAATAATCTGTAGATAAAATCTTTGTACTCAATACTTAGATCCATATCCTTAGGGAATCGTACATTTTATCTCATGATTTTTCTAAACATTAAGGATTGATCATCCTCATAAAAGGGGGCTTGTCCAATTACCATTTCATATGCGAGTGTTCCAAGAGCCCACCAATCTACAGGAAACGAATGCCCTCCCTTGCTTAAAATCTCGGGAGCCATGTACTCTGGTGTTCCTCTAATTGAAAATGTTCTTTCTTTTTTTTCTAGTTTCTTTGAAATTCCGAAATCAACCAATGAAACATAACCTTAATAAATATTAGATTATGCAAAATTACCATCATGGTTAATAAGAATGTTTTCAAGTTTCAAATCTCTGTATAATACACCATTGCTATGTAAATATCCAAGAGCTAGAGCCAATTGAGCAATCATAAACTTAGTCATTTATTCAGTAAAAGTTCCCATGTTGAGTAAGTGCATTAAAAGATCTCCTCCTCTTACAAAATTCATTATGAACAGAATTTTAGTCTATGAAATAAAAGCATAATGAAGGTTCACAAAGAATGGACTTTTTATCTATATTGCTAGATTTATGAATAATAATTATACTCTTATAAGTAAATCCTTCTCTAGTTTTGTGCTAGAATAGAGATCTTCCTCAAGCACAACATCTTTCTATATGCATTTCATTGCAAATGGCTGGCCATCTGACTTTCTTCTTAATAGGTAAACATTTGAAATACTTCCTTTGCCTATTAAATTTTTAACTTCAAAATCAGTGAGTTTGCTGTCTTTGTGGTTTGCATCCCTAGCGTACAATAATTGAAAACTATGAGCTTCACCCCATATCTCTGAACTTTCTTGATTGATAATATCATCTAATAAAGATTTCGGATTGAAATTATCGATTGGCAAGTCCTCTGAAGCAAGTATCAACTAGATATAATTATCATTTTTAATATATTTGGCAAATCTCACAGTTGAATCAGGCAATTGCTTTAGCTCTCCATTTATGAAATCTTCTTTCAATGTCAAAACTGAATTTATTAAACTCTAATTGATTCCAAATACTGGCACATTTTTAGGTGCCCATCTAAGATATGCTGCTTTAAGGTAATGCAAAACAGTATTGCGACTATAAAAGCATTAGATTTTTATAAATAGCATACTCATCACTCTATAGTCTCCAATCATAGTCATTTAAAGGATGAATGATAAAGCTGGTTTCATCATCAGTTAATTTACTCAATGCTCTAATATCTTACAACAAGCTTCTTCTTCTAAGTACAATCTGTTCATTAAAACTATTTTTCCTTAAAAGGAAGAATGACTCATTAGTTATAACAAACATTCTCTTTTAATAGATGCTTAATTTAGGATTAAACTACTGAATTTCTACACTAAGGTACACATCTTAGCCTTTATTAGAGTTAGGATCAATGACTGAGATTTAAAAGTAAAGATCTTGTAGGAATATATTGGAAGATATATTTAGGTCATCTTTCGGCTATAAATTGTTCATTTTTATAATTAATCAATAAGTTTTTATAAATTTTTTAGTATATCTTTAAATTTTTATCTGAAGGGGTTTTGGGGTTTTGGGG